CCAGGGTGCCCCCCTCCCGCCGCCGACCCTTCGCTGGCAAAGTACCTGCCCAGCTCCTCCACCATCCCCATACCCACCATCTCGTCCACCCGCCGGTCCAGATGCTCGGCAAGCACTGCCGTCTCCACGTCCACCCACAGCAAGCAGCTCCGGTACCTCAACCAATGCCTCGCCACGGAAGTTCCGACGAACGGATTTTCCCTTTCGTCATAGCGGTCTACCATCATCGCGTGGATATAAGAGTTGGATCCTCCAGCCACCACAGGAACCCTCCCCCGCGATGCAATATTCGCCACCGCAGCCCTCGCCATCGTGCGGAACGCCGCCGGTGGAAGCTCGCCGGCTAAAGGGTCCAACTCCCCCAACAAATGGTGCGGCACTCCTCGCCGCTCTTCGAGTGGCATCTTGTTGGTAGTGATATCCAGACCACGATAAACCTGGATCTTGTCGGCGTTCACCACCTCCCCTCGAAACTGGCTAGCGATGTCAATGGATAGCTTCGACTTCCCCGTTCCCGTCGCGCCCATGATCACCACCACCCCTTCCCTCTCCTTCCTCGCACACTGGAATCCGTTTCCTGCGACCGCTGCCGCACTCCTCGCGGTTCCACTGCCGCGAGAGAATAGAATTCTCATATAGAATTCGCAACTCGAGCTCTCCTCCTCAAATGCTCGCCAACAGTTTGCAAAATGCCCATTCACTGCCTCGCGCCGTTTCTCACTATACTCGACTCGGACAAAACTCAGGTTTCCGTTGCACGCGGCGATTGAGCGTCTTTTCACTCCATCTCCCCACTTTTTATTCGACTCGAAATTAGCAGCAAACTCTTCTTTAAAGGAAAGATAACCTTCCGGTTAATGATTCTTTTAACCATGCGGATTCATTAAATAATCGTATTTGGTATCAGCCCTCATTAGAAAAAAAAAAAAAAAAAAGAAAATGGGGGGGTAGCCGGTGAGCGGGTAGAGTAATATAAAAACAGTACAAATACAGTAAGCAAGTATTGATGCGTTGGTGTATGTTGGCAGAAATGGGGCATAGAATATGTGCACGCTTGGTGTTGGGATCAGCTTCAGGAGCAGGCTCTGTCCACCGGCAAAGCAGCGGAGAGTATATCGTGCGTGCTTGAGCCGACCGGCTTGGCCGCTGCGGATGTGTGCGCTTGGCTCGCATTCCGCCGGTTCATATTAGGAAGCGGGAGCCGCGCTCACATGGGGTGTGTTTAAACAGTATGAATTAACTGCGGCATT